AGACGAAAAACATTGAAAAACATCAATGTTTTCGCAACATTATTATTACAGTAGAGTCCCGTTAGTCCGAAATGGTTGGGACTGGGCCCATTTCGGATCACCAAATATTTTAGATTAAAAGTTTTCTGTTTTTTTTTATTTTGAAAAAAGAAATTAATTTTTTTTATTTTTTGAATTTTTTTTTGTCTTAGGACGCAGGCACAAGCCCGTGATTGTTTTTCACATTACTTAAGGCTAGACCTAGAGGCTGCAGCATTATCACTTAGTAAAATCCATTTGTGATTTGGCGGGATTGGAACCCGGGACGAAAATGAAAAATGTTAATAACAAAAATGGTGAAATATTTACTAAAATACTCTAAAAAAAGTCTATCTCGCCCGGCCGCTACAGAATACTTTGACAAGGTACAGCTAACTGTGTTAAAAGTTTAATAAAAAAATTCCAAAAAATTTTCAAAAAAATTTTAATTAAAAAAAAATATAGGCTATATATAAAAAATATATTTTTTTGTTTTGGATTAAGCGGACTTTCGGATTACCGAAGTTCGGATTATCGGGACTCCACTGTATGTTATTGCTAAGTCGATGGTGAACATTGATGGTTGACCTATCGATGCTCATCCCTAGTTGGTAGTACTATCACCAGTGGCGTAGTCAAAAATCTTCTCGTTTGGGAACGTTCACTGCCATATTGGAAAAAGCACAGGTCATCTACTGATGTTAAGGATTTTAGGAAAAAGCAGTTTGGGTACCCCATTTCCACCCCTTCCACTACACCACTGACTGTAACATGAAATGCATTTTTTTTAAACTTGCATATATTTTGTTTGTATTGTATAACTGTCAGTGGCTGAGGATTCAACCTAAGTATAAATGAACAAGTGGATGCTCTTCACTTTTATTAAGCAACCTCTTTTACATGATGGGCCATTAAGATTACTATCGGTTAATATCAGTTACATCTAGACTTGATCGATATTTACTATATTGAATGTGCATTGTTCGTAACTATAAAATGTTATTGATTTAGCCATTTTCATCCAAAACTAATAGGCTACTTTTGTTTATTACACTGAATAGCTGCTGACTGTGAATAGCGACCAATCTATATAAATAAAATTAGAGTTTTGTCTGTACATTGCTCAGAATTATATATGTCATTATATATGTTTTGGTAATTTTTAAGTTTTATACATTGTATAAGCCGAAACAAGTCTAATCTCAATTTCTGTCTGTCTGTCACGGCTTTCAAGGCATTTTACGCGGCTATCTTCTGAAAAATGAGAGTACCTATCAAGATTTAAATCATTTTAATGTATTCACTGGATTGGCAAGAGTGTCTTTAGCCATTAAAATATGACCTCCTTATTTTATAAATCAAATTACGGACGTTCAAAAACCCATTTTTGTCAAGTTTTCTTCCAATGTTTATCACATAATGTCATCTATGAAATAATGAACAGCTGTTTGGATCAAGATTTTTTTTCTAGCTGTCACTGTTATGTTTACATTAAATGTTGTTTACAAATACCGCGACCATTTCAGATCACGTTTTGAAAGCAAATCCAAACCAAGTGAGATTGAAAACGTTTTTCCTTACATGACGGATTTAAATTGGAAAGAAAACATAAAGAAAAAATTGGTTTTCGGGCTGTAGAACAAGTATTTGTGTATAATTTGGCATCTCTTGAGTTTTTCCACTCAGTCTTTCTGTATTACCCACATATCAAAACACATGTCTGGGTGACAGGTGTGCAGATTTTTAAGGCTTTAGATTTTTGATTCAAGATATAAAACTTGAATGAAACGCAAAAAAACCTTGTTTACCGATTCTTTGTTTACATGGTTTTTAGGAATGGATTATTAGTAGTTGATGATTTATATTCAAGTGAAATTTACAACAATAAAAGTGATATTTGCAAAAACTCTATTCTGAGTCCACTAAACAAATCACATTTTGACAATACATAACACGTGACCATGGTGTTTTTTAACAAGATCCCATCACCCACCCCCAAATCAAAACCCTACCAGTTGGTTTTAAAAAATCAAAACCCCACCAGCAACCCCTATTTCGGAGTGAGTGATGTGATGAAATTTGAAGTCATGTTAAAAAGTGTGTGACATCACCTGGTCAAGTTTACTCAAGGTTATTTGCAAATTAACAGCCATGAAAAAAATAAAAGTGATTGATTTTAATTTCCAGTTCAATTAACGTCTGAACATTTCTTGCCATAACTGAAACCAAATTGAAGTTTGGAAAAAAGTGAATTTGATACAAAAAATTCACATACCTGTTGCTTTGCTGCCTTCTCAAGTATTTTTGATACTATAGGTACAACCGATATGGGCCTATAGCTACTGGCAGATGACCTGTCACCCTTCTTATAGATTGGAACCACTTTAGATATTTTAAGTGACTCTGGAAACACCCCAGACTGGAGGCACTGATTTACACAAGCTGTATGAGGGATAAGTATGGCTGGCAACACTTTTTTTTAACCAAATTTGAACTTATGCTATATATCTTTACTTTGGCTTGACTTCATCTCTTTCACATACCCCTCCACCTGGGCACTTGACACTGTCTTCCAACGTAACTGAGGTGCATGGCCTATGTTGTTGGTCAGTAGATCCATGGCAGTAGCTAGGGACCAGCCGACTTGGTTGGTGATGTCAGCAACCAAAAAGGTGAAATAGGAGTTGAAGTTCCTCGCCGTTAGTGAGCAGTCATCTTGACGTAGAGACACCTGCCGTTATGCATTTATGAGTTCCCATGCCTTCTTCACTTTATTTGGAGCTGCATCGATGAGTTTGCTGTTAGCCTCAATTTTGGCTAGATGAAGAGCTTTTTTATACCTTGATTTGGCTAGAGAATACCTATTCTTCATTTCCTCTACATGTGTTGTAGCGTAGTGCCCACTGCAACTTGCTGTGTAAGCTGTCCACTTCTTTTTTCATTTCAAGGAGTTCACGGCTAAACCAAAATACACTGACACATTTTGATTTCTTCTCATTTATAGTTTTATAAGGAAAGCATATCCTCATACCATCAATAAAAATTTCCATAAAATTGTCAAAATAGCCTGATTCGGCAAATGGTAACTCAGCATCCCAATTTACATTGTATAAAAAACTTAAGAACTTATCTGTATTTTTTCACTGAAGCAGCGGATTGTTATTTTCTCTGGAGCGACATCGTTTAAAGCTGAGGTGGTACTAATCCTAGCAGCCAGGGCAGAATGGTCAGATATATGTTCCATTACATCAACAGATATTGATTGTCTTGGCAGATTAGTGATGACATTGTCCAGGCACGCCAGACCCCTAGTTGGCTTATTATTGGCACAATAGGAGTCAGCGCTTCGTAGCATGTTTTGCAAATTCACTGTTGCTGGGTCATTTAAACCTTTACAATGTCTATGTTGATGTCACCGCAGATAATTACTGGGCACTTAGGACTCGTCAAATGCAAAATAAGTTGTTCAAGCGAGTCGAATAACAAATCGAGGTCACCAACAGGAACAACTTCTAAAACCGAATTGAACAGGAGTGAGAAGGTTATGCTCCTCAAAGTAACTATACAATTGCTCAAGCATAATGGCCTCAAATATTTGGGCAAATATAGGTATTATGGATATTGGTCTGTAGCTTTTAAGATCATCTTATGAGCCCTTTTTGTAAATGGGAACTGTTCGACTAATTTTGAGTTTCAGGAAAAATACCATTTGCAAAAGGTGTAGGCTATTAATAAAATGAGCTATAATAGAAGCAATGACATAAACAATTTTCTTTAAGAGCTCAACATTCATATCATAATAGTCTACACTTTTAGAGCTTTTAAAACCTTTTACAATTTTAATCACTGTCTCAGGGCCCACAGGGTGCCAGTTGATGATTGGGCAGTAGGTATAGAATCAAGGGTAGCGGGGTTGGTGTAATTTGGTGTGGGAGGTATAGGTATTAACCAAATCATCAACAGACTCTGCAAAAAAAATGGTTGAATTCATCAGCACTAGAAAAATCTCTGGGCGGGTTGGAAGTAGGACCTTCAAGCCTCCGTATGTGATCCCACACAGCCTTACAGGGATTGGGTGACTCGCAGATGGAGGCGGCCACAGCCACCTGCTTGGCTTCCTTTACATTTTACAGAGTAGGCACAGTAGCCTACTCCCTTATCAGCTTCCGTAGTTCAGTTTCAGGCAGTAGGTGGGGCGAGCTTCTGAACCAGTCAGCAATAACTAAAATTAGGTTCTTAAATTTGGCAAGTTCAGGGGTGTACCAGTTATTTGAGTTAGGAACACCTCTACTTATGCCTACATTCGGGCTTGGACTTGGATGTTTTAGAGACAAGGGGAAAGCAAAAATCATAAATCTCTTTAAGGCTTTAAAAGAAGTTGTCAAAAGTAAAAATAGAACTTTGTGACAATATTTCATCATACCACACTATGGCCTGATCAAGCACTCTAAAAACCTGTTTGTGTTTATGTCATTAAGTACTCTGAAAGAGACAGTTCTAGTAGGTTTAACCACTTGATCAGATTTTAGGCCTAATTTGGTAAGCTAATGTCCAAGATCTAGAAAACACATGCCTTGTGATCAGATATTTGGTCAGAGCTAACACAAGCACTGTAATTCCAGCTGTCAATATTGGTTATGACTGTGTCCAGTGCAGATTCTCCTCTAGTTGCTTCATCTGCATAAAAAACAGGTCAAAGCTCCTAAGAATGTGTTAAAAGTCTTTTACCTCATTTGGGTAAAAGCGAGGATTTACATTATGATCAGTACAGATTATCAGTACCGATTAGTAACGAAAATAGTAGAAAAAAATAGCGGTAAGTAGGTTTAAGCATTGACTGTGTATAGTCAATGGTTTAAGCTTTGTTTATTCATTAAGCTCAACAAATATTTTTTTAGAGATAGTAACAGTAAAACCTTAAAAGTTCAGAATTGTTGGGTTTTCCAGGCATCAAAAATAAATAAATGCTGTGCATATGTATTGTTCTATTTATTTTGAAATCCTTAACAGGTCATTGTAACATGAGATGAGGGGCCTAATGTCTCTGATAACATCTTAAGATAGGCCTAATCATAAGACAAAAGAAGAGATTATAAAACAAGAATAGTCTTCGAATATGTTTATACTTTTAAAACTAAATTCCTTCTAAAATTTTTAAAAGCTTGAAAGACATAAACAAGCATTTGTTCCCCCAAAACCAAATGAATTTTTTAAGGCTATCCTTTTTGCTTTTCCCCAAACTTGTTTATGGTTTGCAACAATATTAAGCCCTTTACCTTCTTCACAAACACTTTGCAAGTTAATTGTGGGTGGGATCTCCCTCGAAAAACAAGCTAAAGCTGTAAAACAAGCTTCTAAGTTTCCTGCTGCTCCTAATAGATGACCTGTGGCCCCTTTAGTTGAGGAGATGGCAATATTTTTACAGTGGTCCTTAAACAGAGTTCTAATTGCTTTTAATTCAATAGCATCTCCTAATACAGTAGAAGTTGCATGAGCATTAATATAAGATATGTCTTTCAAACTAAGATTTGAATCTTTGATTGCCCTTTCCATTGCCAATATTGCACCTCTGCCATCTTCATGAGGTGCGGTTAGATGTGATGCATCCCCTGACATTCCATATCCGATCACTTCTGCATAAATCTTTACGTTACGGGATAGTGCATGATTTAATTCTTCTAAAATCATGATTGAAGCACCCTCGCCCATCACAAAGCCATCCCTCCCAACATCAAAAGGTCTTGAAGATTCTAGTGGCTTATGTTTATAGTCTGTACTAAGGGCTCGCATCCTACTGAAGCCAGCAATAGACAGTGGATTTATACTTGCCTCTGCACCTCCGCAAACCATTACATCTGCATACTCATTTTGAATGAGTCTGAAAGCGTCACCAATTGAATGTGCACCAGTTGCGCAAGCTGTAGAAACTGAATGATTGGGACCCTGGAAACCATACTTTATACTAATTTGTCCTGCAGTCATATTTGTTAAAATTCTGGGCACAAAGAATGGTGTCACACTATTATATCCAAGCTTTAGTGCATTACTCATTTCAGAGATATGTGCAATATCTGACATTCCCATTCCTACACACACGCCTGTTGATTCTAGACCTTTCTTTGTTGTAGGCTTCCACTGTGAATCAGCTAAGGCTTCTTCGGCTGCGATAATTCCCATAATTGTTGCACGAGACATACTCCTAAAATCTCTCATAGTAAAATAATGATTAAATTCTTTATTTAGCACATCATCACTTACAGCTGCAGCAACTTTACATGGAATTTGTATGTATTCATCTCCTTCAACAACTGTTACTGCACTTTTCCCTGATAGTAGGCTTTCCCAAGATTGTTGCGTATTCTTACCTAAAGGAGATATCATTCCTATGCCTGTAACAACAACTCGACGTTTCATTCTTAATGGTCAATACTAACATACACTATATTTTACATACGACTGCACAGTGCACATTAGTTATGAAATATCCCAATATTATGGTTACCAACTCATCAACCTCCAAACACAGAATAATTCTTGTGTTATTCGCACTTGACAGTGTGTGTTAATCACAGTGCATTAAACCCAAAGGTAAGGTTAACTTCTTCTTTAAACATAGCAAACATGAAACAAACCAAACATAACCTCTGAATCTGAAATTCTGACAGTTCCAAAACCTGTCATCATCTTCACCACAAACACAAACTGAACACTGAACTGAAACTAGTGAAGTGACGTGTGATGTACCCGGTGGGGCACACGGGAGGGACTAAGGCTAACATATCTTGTAGTGTCAGCGTTCGCCGCTAGAACCGGCTGCACTTTACTTTAGGTCCTACACTCATTCGAATGAAAATATCGATCAATATATCGATTAATCGATTGTTTCGTTCGATATACCGTTTGGTTAGTTAGGTAAGGTTAACCTAACCTAACTAACCAAAGGATATATCGAATGAAACAATCAAATAATCGATATTTTAATTCGAATGAGCGTAGGACCTTAAGTAAAATGCAGCCCTAGAACCGCTAAGTTGAAATTTTTTTATTTTGTTTTTAGTTATAAAATTAACTTTTTAATTATAAAATATTGCTTTTAAATTATAAAATAAATTTTTAATTTGTAAAATAAAACTGTCATAACATAACCTAACCAACCAGACTTGCTGATAATATAAAAACTGTATAAGATAAAAATCTAATTAATGATTACTTATAATTTTTTATTAATTATAAAATTAATTTTAAAATTTAGTATTATAAAATTAAACTGTCATAACCTAACCTAACCAACCAAACTTGCTGATATGAAAAATTTGTTGACCTAAAGTTAGTGCTACCAGCGGGATTCGAACCCGGGACCTCCTGAACACCAAATCGAAACGCTACTAACAATGCCACGAACGCCGCTGACAACACATTGTTTCGTTACGGTAATCGTGTTGCCTCAAGAGTAGACATTAGCCACTAGAGATATTACGTCACTACACCTTTAGCCTTAGTCCCTCCCGTGTGCCCATGCCGTGATGCACCCATCGAATTATATAACACAACTGGAACACCGGGTAGATAGGAGATTTGATTTGGGATAAAAAGCGCGCCGTTTCAGCAACCTTCCCCCACCACAAAGGTGGACTCGACGCAGATATGTCAGTTCCTTAAGCCCTGCACGCGGTTGTTAATACGCTCCTGGCCGTGCATACAATAGGTTGACTGCAATGAAAGCTATATATTCGGAATCTGCATTAACTGCAGAATCTGACAGTATAAATATAATCTTATTTAAATCGTAATTCGAATTTTAACAACTAAAAATGTTAAACAAATATCACACCTTGACATGAAAAAGTTACTAAGCGAGGATTTTTTTTTATTTTTTTGTCAGAAGCAAACTTCAAGTGACAAAATTGTAGCTTAATGAGATGATCTTCAACTTGTAACCAAGCAATTTCATATACAATTCTCTAGTCGTGTGTAATCACAGAAAACGTACTACTTTAACCCAGAATGCCAACCGCATGGTAAAAAGCATTAAGCGGTTTGAGAGAGCTTTGCCTGTCAAGTGTCAATCCGTAGGCAGCGCCACCAGCGCATGGCAATGCGATTTACTAATGGAGTAATTAGTAACGCAAAGAGGTTCTTTATAAATCGCGCCGCGGGCCGTTCTCCCTGGGGCCCATTTCATAATAAAGTACAAACTAATATTATTAGTAAATCAGCTGATCGCCCAATGCAAATCTAATGGAAATTACAAGTTACAAGTTGTAACTTGTAACTTGTAGTTTATTATGAAATGGGCCCCTGGTGTTTGTACGATATTTCCCAGTCGGGCAGTAGCGCGTGCGAACCTGCGACGTTGCCGATGTGTACCTACTAAACAAATACCTACAGTAGGAACAGTACAAACAGTACAAAACAGTAGGATTGGCCATCACACTGACATTGCTTTTTTCACACAGCCATAAAAATTTCATAAAGATTGGCTCAGTGGTTTGTTTACAATTAAATTTTAAACTTCAGTGTTAGTGCAGAGTTTCTTAAAAAACCGGTACTTTTTAGGATCTTTCAACAGTATAAATTTTTCTGGTCAGCGGAATTTTTGTTATTGTTACCACGTAAAATGTATTTAATCCAGCTTATATTTAATTGTTGTTTCGCCAAAATTGGATAATTCATCTCTGATAGGCTCACACTCGAGTGCACATATTTATTTCCCCGACAGCACAGAAAACATACTCGACAGGTAGACTAGCGCCGCCATCTTTGTCTGTTTCGCCGGCTAGTAAGACTGCCACGCTCCTGCGCTGCGAGTAGCGCTTCTATTTTGTTATGTGTTCGCTGATGCCGGGTCGGGTAGATGTGGATGTGAGTGAAACGAGCCTAAGGTCTCGTGACGCCCACGCCACCCGTCCCAGTCGTTATGTTATGTTATTTGTTATTGCCTTGTTATATTACTCAACCGGGCTCCGTCAGTTATTGTTACTGTTCGTTCCGCGACTGCGAATGGTAGTAGAGTGAACTGAACAAATCAATTATCAAATCTTACCAACCTCAACCAACCATAGAAAGAATAAGAATGTCATGTTAATGTTTGTACTATCAATCAACGACGTTAAATGGAAGCTTTATCAAAATTAAAAAACTTTGTGCCTACAGGAATTAGATATCTCTCCGCCAGATAGTAAGTAACTTATAAATAGTTTTTCAGCAAAATAAACTCTAGATATTAAAATAATATTATGGTGGTTAACATTAACAATCATAATAAATGTTTCACTATAAGGCCTAGGCCTAGGCCTATAGTAAACAAACTAGGCTAGTTCACTTAGCTTAGTGTTGGAACATCGAACCGGTAACATCGATATTAGGCCTAGTATCGATAGTCATATCGGCCTTTTTAACATCGATGTAAAAAAATATCGGGGTAGACTTCCTTATCTGTTGGCACAAACAACCGAATGAAACATTTGATAACTTAAGTATAGCGATTGGTTAGTTAGGTTAGGTTAACCTTACGTAATCAACCAAACGATATATCGATCGATATTTTCATTTGGTTGTTTGTGCCAACAGATAAAGAAGTGTACCCAAATATCGAAATCAAAATACCGTATCGATAAATATTGGAGAAGGTACAAAATACGGTATCTAAGTTAGGTAAGTATATTATTTGCATTTGGGGGTACAGTTTCTTAACTGGGCTATGCTAATATCGATTGAAACTATCGATTCAATTAGTAAACCTTCATGCGATTTTTTCACCATCAGCAAGTTTGGTTGGTTAGGTTAGGTTATGATAGTTTAAATTTATAATAGATATAGGCCTATTTAAAAATATCGATTATTAAATCAATATTTTCAATTCGATAATTTCAATCGATATTAGCATAGCCCAGTTAAGAAACTGTACCTGCATTTGGTCGATGTTTTACCAAATTTTTAAAACATCATCCAACTTCTAAATAATGAAATATATAATTTAAATCTCAATTCCATTAAAATTTTTTTGGTTAGGCCTACAGGAGAATAAATACATATGTAGGTATAACCATTGACAATATTTTACCTAGGCTACCTGTAGGTATATTTAACCTATACTTAGTCAATACCAAAAAAGTTTGCCTCTCTTTGTACTTATCGGACTTATCCCCTAAGGGCCGCTTTCCCCAAATCTAGGAGGCCTATATTAACTCTGACAATCGTGGTTTAAACTACTTATGGCCCTACTATATTTTAACCTCAGTCTTAAACTAGAGAAATAATTATCCTAGGCCTAAACTTACTTCTGATGCACCGATGGCTGTAACAAGTGATAGTAAAAAATTAATAGGTATCGGAGTAAAATATACTAAGTTATAGCCTTTAGAAATATATAAAACTTACGCTATTAACAAAAACATTGGAGTGAAATAACTTATCAATAGTAACAATATCAAGGTAAAAAAAGCATAAGGTCTCGCTAAACGTAGATAGACGTAGATTAAGGCTAGGCTTGTTCTGATAATCTCTGTTATCCTTTATCAATTCTTATTAACAGATCTTTTGACCATCATAAATTCCCAGATATACTTAAATATAGTGTTATTAACCCTGTTTTAAAAAAAGGGGATTCTTCAGTTTTGGACAATTATCGGCCTATCTCCATCCTCCCTACTTTCTCTAAAGTATTTGAGAAGGTAGCTTTAAACCGATTATCTTATTTTTTTGAGAGCAATCACATATTTTGTGAAAACCAGTTTGGTTTCAGGAAGGGTAGAAATACAACTAAGGCAATTTATGAGTTTGTTTCGGGCATTTCGGAGGCTGTTGATAGATCGCAGTACACAGCCGGAGTGTTCTGTGATCTGTCGAAGGCCTTCGACTGTGTTGACCATGACTTGCTCATGAAAAAATTGAATCACTACATGGGGTGAGTGGTAATGCACTTCTCTGGGTTCAGTCCTATCTGGATAATAGGAAACAATCAGTCAAAATAAATAATATTGTTCAAAGTAATTATTCCATTGTTAAAGCTGGTGTCCCTCAAGGATCAATTCTGGGACCATTCCATTACTTAGTTTTTGCTAATGACCTACCAAATGCAGTTCATAACTCCAAATTAATAACATATGCAGATGATACTACTCTTTTATGTAAACACCCCATCCGGGTTAATTTATTTAAAATGCTAGAAAATGACTTATCTGCTATGAATTCTTGGTTTAAAGCTAATGGCCTTCTTTTAAATAAAAATAAAACTTTTGCTATTAATTTTCATTCCAACTACTCCAATTCAAAATACTCTGATGACTCTTATGTCAAACCCTTATTGCAGACAGCAGATAGTTATAAATTCTTAGGGTTACAGGTTGATCCTTCTTTGAAGTGGGATGAGCGGGGACGCGCCAAGGTCCGCGGCCAACAAGGTCTACGACCACCAACCTGACCTACGATTGGTGGTGCGAAATGTCCGAGCTGAACCAGTTCCGTGACGGGTGAAGGGGATGTAGTCGTGTTTGCTGCCGGTAGACCTTGTTGTCAGTGGCCAACGCATCTGTTAGGCTGGTGCGGTCAGGACAAAGTCTCCTTTACATAACTAATATGCATTTGTTTATTGATACTATCATTATTATAGTATTTAAATGGGATAAGAGTAAGACTAATACAAAAGTAACCCGTGCTATATATTTGTATAGCATTTTTGCTACTAAGATAAATAAATCTGGTTTCTGCTTATTTTCTTAGAATAAAAAAATCCTTTTGTATTTTTTGAAGTTAATTACCCTTTTCGAAACCCTCCTATAGTAGGTGAATAATTTACTTTAAACTTTGTAATGTTAAATAAAATATTTTAAAATCAGAACGATAATTAAACTTTTGGCCAGAAGATATCATAATAAGTTTTATTTTAAAAAAGGCAACTTAAATTTTTGGGGAATGCTATTATTGTATTAATTGTAATAATAGATGAGTGAACGAAGTGAACGAATCTTCTTACTACACTTATATTAACAATTGAGTTATTTGATTTTACAAGGAAATCAATGTAAAAATAAAGCTTGTTATACATAGCCGGCACTTATTGTATATGTATGGCTGAGTACCATACGAAACAACGCCTGCAAAAACTAGTATACCTTTTGCAAACTCCGCCGTATTGTGGGATGATAGGAACGCCTTTTCCATTCATTTAATCAATGGATTGTTAATCTTTGTTGCTTTTAATAATATTTTATTTATGCGCTGCTATGTTGTAGTTTTGAAAACATCATATTTTCAATTATTGTATAGTACTAGAGAACCCGTGAGGCTCAATGAGCCGCATAGTATGAAACATAACGCCAAGAAAAACATTAAGCTTAAATTCGAATAGTTTTAGATACATCTTAGAGTTGTTTGAAAACTTATTAGAAACTAATTTTAAATATCTCTATTTGCGTCGTCAAGGCTCACTTACATTACTGGTATTTCTGCTCTCAGTTTTAACTGATGACTTCTAATGAATGCTAAACGATCTGTTTCAATTCGAGGTAACATGCTGCAACAAAGTGTTTCCAGAATCGAGAACTTAAGAAAACCTTATATGCCTTACTGATAACCTGTGTTAAGTAATTTAAGTCGAGTCATTTTATTTCTTTGATTTGAGACATACACCAACCTACTCAAACGAATTTTCTCCGTAGAGAATCCTGAAAAATGGGGTGATATCAACCATTTCATGTGCTACATGTTTTAACACAGGATACAGTACCTAATACAAAAAAATCACACTTATTTTAATACGGAAATAAATTGAAAGAATAACAAACAAATAAGTACAGCTAAGGTATTTTTAACATTAGGTATATGGAAAGTTCGCTTTAGAAATGAATTACGACCTTAAAGGGCAATTTACGAAATAATGGATAGTTTGGATAGTAATGGAAGTTTGACAGTTTAACAGTTTGCTACAAACACTTGGTTGAAATGAAAAATTTACCTACTACAAGTGTACATGTTGCTCGAAATCGAGCAATTGCGAAGAAGTAAAGTACGGTAGTTGTTTAAAAACAAATAACTTATTTAAAACCTAATAAAAGTCATAATTTCCGATGAGTTTAAAAGACTCAACTCATAGATCACGTACCTAACAGTTCCATATAATCAACATTTCTTGTAAATATTTTATCATTTTTCAAAAGCTGATCTAGTTTTTTAGTGTATTCTACAAATATTTCCCACTTATAGCCGCATTAGGTTGTCCATGTTGATCTTCGTCAATGATAATGTAGTCTGCATGGTACTACCCATTGTTGCCAGTACGTTTACAAATTTCTGTAATTTTTTTACAACGATAACATTTTGTTTACATTACTTAAGAACTGCCTGATTTTCTGCATAACCTCTCTATCACAATTGTATTTGCTTCAATCCTATATAATTATTAAAACGAAACAGGGTTTTTTTATTTCACGATTCTGAATCAACCACTTGACGGATTTTTATGATTTTTGTGTTGAAAGAAAGATAATTTTGAGAACTAGGGAATGTCGAAGCCATAATTTTAGTTTAGGGTTTCAGTTTTTTAGAAATTAAGTTTTAATTTTCAAAAAGTCTAGCAGCCGACGGACGAGTTAAAGTCGTTTTAGTGGTGGTTTAACTAACAGCTAGTTTCTAACTGTCATTGAAATGTTTATGTTACAAGTTGTTTGTATACAAAAAAATATTGATCGTCAGAGTTTGCCTACACACTATTTTACTTTAAAATGCAGTTTATTTTCTACCGTTGTTATCAGGAGATTGTGTAATTTTGAACTAAACTTTTTAAACGTATAATCAAGTTTTGTCATAAATGCAATCCGTCTAAGTATAAGTGCTTAATCCTTTAAGATATAGGTTACGTGTTGATACATCTTTTTCTAGATGTTTAAATATAAGTATGACTGCATACAGTACACATTTTATTCGTAATGAAAATGTCAACCGGTGTAGTAGGTCTCCAGAAAACTGACCAGTAAGCTGCAGGGTGTCAGTAGAAACCAAAATCGATTCATACCATATCATAACTATCCCAGTAGTACTGTATGATTCAGAAACTTGATAAAGGGGTACATTCCAAAAGTAGACCAAAAGGCTCGGATCTCGGATGGGCTGGGCAGGCTTTGCATGGCGGAGAGAAGATACTTCAACTTTTAAAAGTGTATTCCAAGGAGTACTACAAGG